TCCCCGTGCCCAGGGGCTGCACCCAGAGTTTATTGCGGGAGGGCACAGGAATCCAGCACAGGTTCTCCCCGTGCCCAGGGGCTGCACCCAGAGCCCATTGCGGGAGGGCACAGGAATCCAGCACAGGTTCTCCCCGTGCCCAGGGGCTGCACCCAGAGCCCATTGTGGGAGGGCACAGGAATCCAGCGCAGGTTCTCCCCGAGCCAGGGTCTGGTCCCAGTGCCCATTGCGGGAGGGCACAGGAACCCAGCGCAGGTTCTCCCCGAGCCAGGGGCTGGTCTCAGTGCCCATTGCGGGAGGGCACAGGAACCCAGCGCAGGTTGTCCCTGTGCCCAGGGGCTGCACCCAGAGTCCCTTCCAGCTCAGGTTCTTCTTCCTGTTCCAAGTGACTAACAAGTCAGCAGGGCCCTGCACTGGTCAGATGTACCCCACCCTTGCACTTTGCATGCTGGCTGAGGGTCTCCCCCCCGTCCCCGTCCTTCCTTGCAGAACTGACCTCCAGAATCAGCTGCTAAAGGAAGGAGGGAGTGCGCTGGTGAGTGTGATCGTCTGGCCGCACCGCGGGCTGGTAACCGATCAAGGGCATGGCTGTGATTGCCCAACCATGGGGCGCAGCTCCATGGAGAGGCTGAGCCTGGCAGGGCCCATTGGGATGGGGGCTTGGGGGGGCTGCTGTTGGGGTGCCCGGACAGCAGGCTCAGTCAGCATGCAAAGTGTCATCGAGTCTGGAAGCCCTTGGTGTGGCTGTTACCAAGCGATCATTAGCGCCTGGAACGCTGCCGGACGTGTGCCTCCCCACAGACTCTGGGGAGATTGCTTCAAAGGCCAGGATGGCATTTAATTCCCTCTCTCTCTCTCCTCCTCCTCCTTACCTATGCAGCTGCAGAATAATTAGTCACCATGACGACAGAGACAGGCCCAGACTCAGAGGTGAAGAATGCCCAGGAGGAGCCCCCACAGCAGCAACTGGAGGCAGCGGCAACCAGTCCAACCACGGTGACCACCGGCCCTGGCCCGATGGCCAACAACCGGGAAGCTGAGGCCAACGAGAAGCCGAGAGCCCAGGCCGACTCCAGAAGTGCGGAGCCGGTGAGTGGGTGGCGGGCTGGGGAGTGCCAGTGAGGTGCTCGGACCCGTGGGCCTGAGCGCTCGGTATTGGGTGGGATGCTGCCTGGTCCCAGCGGGCAGGTGCCCACTCTGTCGGTGGCCACTCTCAGCAGAGGGAGGGGATGGAGATGGAGTCTGAGCTCCCCACTAGAGGGAGCTCTCAGGGCAGGCAGGGAAAAGCCTGCCCACACTGCACCTGTTTTGTGGAGGCCTTTGGTCTCCACGGCTGGCATCATCTGGCCCCTTCTCTCTTGCCAATAAAGGCAGTTCCCTTGCAGAGTGCGATAGACCCACTGGGCATGGATGGGCTTTCGGTCTCCCCAAGCCCCTCTGCACCTGAGCCATCAGGATGACACTGAGGATGTGAGCAGCGGTGTTATTAACTTCACACAAGCCAGCTGCTCCATTTGCCATTGGGCAGTGCCCAGTGGATCCATCCAGCCATTGCACACACAGATACCACGCTGCCTGGAGCTGGCCCCCAGGATCTCCACTCAGCAGCCTCTGCCTGCTGTCTGCCATATTGTTCTGGGGCTCAGACCTGCCCCAGGAAGTGCAAGTCTAGGAGACACCCACACATCAGGGCAGGCTGATGGCGCTGGGTCCCCCTGCGTGTATGGCCCACACACCCTCTTGCTCATCTGCCCTGCAGAGGGGTTTGGAGAGTGGTGCAGAAGCTGATGTGTGCCAAGTCGGTCTGTGCCCCTGCCCACAGCAGCTGCCTTTGCTTTGGCTCTCCAAGCTCTATAACGGGATAGATCCAGGCTGGAGTGGCTGGGGCCTGTTGAGTGGGTGGGGGACCCACCCTAGGCCCACCCAAGGCCCACCCAGCCCACCCCACAAGGGGCTAGCGCTACGATCAGCATCACTTTACAAACTCAGCTTGCTCTTCCCCATTAGAGTAGCAGAGCTATCGCTATCTACCCCCTGGGCAGAACAGGAGGGACCCCCCCCCAGGGCCCGGTCTTGCCCAGCGCTGGGTCGTGGCTTTGGGAGCCCCAGGCAGAGAGTGAGGAGCAGTGCTGGGAGCCCAAAGGAACATGACAATGCAGGAAACAGAGTGCTGCTGAGCAGCTGCCAAGGTCCCCGTACCCAGCCGAAGGGTCAGGGATTGAGGGAGGCAAGTAGGCACGTGCCTCGATGAACTGATGCAATCCCTGGCAGAGCTCAAAGCTGCCGAAGGGCTGCTCTAACCTGTGCTGCTGTAGAAGTCCTGTGTTCTCCAGCCCCGCCCCAGACACCTCTCTACTAGCGTGGAAAGGAGGGAGTGGGGTGGAGCAGCTATCTCACTACCTGTCCTTGGGGGATTCCCTCTTGCTGCTCTGAGCTGCCGGAGCGGAGCGGCACCAGAAATGGGAGCTGACCCTGTGTCTCTTCACACAAGCCCATTCTTCTCTGGGAGAGGTTTACTGAGAACAATTTCTCAGACCCCTTGGTGAAGCCTGTTCAGCTGTGGAGGAGGGAGCTCCATGCGATCCCACCTCTCCTACCACCAGCCCTGCTCCCAGCCAACTCCCTAAGCCAGGATCAGCAGTGCCAGGCTGGTGACTGAAGCAGGCGGGGCAGAGCTCTGTTTCTATCACACATGGCTGAACTGCCGGCAATACCATCCTGTCCGTGCACGCAGAGCGAGACAACTCAGTGAGGAAGCCTGTGATGGAGAATCAACGTGGAGCTCACAGGTGTCATTTCCCAGGGTCACTTTTCTGACCCTGTTTGTCTGCCAGACAAAGACACAGGATGGAAGAATTGAGCCTGGCTCATCAGAGACTGAAATAATCTTGCAGTTTCATTTGGCTGCAGGATTCCTCTTTGCCTCGCGCCCAAAAGTGCTGTATAGCATCCTTCCGCGCGCGTTAACCTGCCAACAGAGAGCTCCGCTGACTGTAACTCGGCAGGTTGAGCTGCCATCCCTTCTCTAGTCCCCAGACCGTGCACCTTTCCATTGCCTCTGGAAAATAACTCCCAAAGGGACCACAAAGAAAGCCCCATGCCTCAGCCAATGCACAAAGAGATAGGAGCGAGATTTCACACCACCGGTGCCCAGAAACGCTATACAAGCCCTCCCGGAACCCTAGGGACCTATTTGTGTTGCCGAAGCCTGTGCCACAGCATCTGCCCTGCTAGGCTGAGCTGTGCTAGTGTGGGTAAAGCTAGTGGGGGTACCTCTGCCAAGCTGCAGTCCCACTTTGCATTGCAGTATAGACATACCCTGGGTCGCTTCTTGGGGGAAAGGACCAGGGGGAACTGTGATGACCTGATAAGGAGACTTGGAATCTATGACCTAGGATGGGGAGTCTTGGCTTCTCAGAGGCAACATCTAACCAGGCCGATGAATCAGAGTTATCCTGGCCAGGGCAGTTGTGTCGTCAGAGGAGGTAGGGCCTTTCCTGCTGCAGTGGAAAGGGACAGTCCATATCCTGCCCAGGGAAAAATTGCCAACAGTATTTCCAAGCTGATAAATAATTGAAGCAAACCCAGGATAGCTGCTAATTGCAGCAGGTGGAGGGGATGCACAGTGCATGCTAGGCACCAGCTGCCAAGAAAAAGCCATTTAACCCCATAGGAGAATCAGTCCCCACAATCTTATCTCCTGTGATTGGCCACAGGCCACGTTCTGCTCTCAGTCACACTGGTGTCATCCTGGGCCCACCCCAGCCTACCCCAGACTTGTGACCAAGAGCCTCTCTGTGCTAGAATGACAGAGATAAACAGCAAAAGGGTTTGACTGTCGGCTCAGAAAACATCTAATGCAGGTGATTGCGAAGAGCCGTTGGTCGCTGGTGAGCAGAGGCAGCTGGTGCAAGGGCAGTCAGAGCTTAGGTGGTCCCTTACCATCTCCATGAGAGTCCTCACTTTCTGCGGCCACATGGCGAGGCCCTCACTGCTTACTCTGGGTTGGTTGGCCAGGCCTTGGAAGCTGCTTAAGGCCAAGAAGGGGAGGAAAACACAAGGGAGGAAAACACAGGGGAGGAAGGGGTGTTGTGAGAGTTGTGCCTGAGAAGGGTGCCTGACCCCCTTAGGAACACGGGCACAGCATGGGCAGTGGTAATAAGAACGCCCCCACCCCTGCCCTATCAGTCTGCCTTGCCCAGACTGGGCGGTGAGAGGAAAGCTCCCAGGCCCACGTGGACAAGGAGAGATTAGGCTGAGAAACCCACCAGGCTTGCTTCCATTTGAAACCTGCCCTAGAGCAGGGCTTGAAGTCCGGTCAGCTCCCTCCCATGTCTCGTGACGTGGGCAGCAAGGACTTGATTGGGGCCTGAATCCTAATCTTGGGAGGAGAAATGGGAGCTCGCGATGCCACTGCACCATTCACCTCCCAGGGTCACCTGCTGGGCAGCTGCTTGGAGAACCAGTTCCTGCATGCTGCCCTTATAGGGAGTTCTGGGTGTGCCGGGCCGCGGAGCCTGAGCTTGGTACCCAGAGTCCCGGCAGCATGAGGGTTGTGTCTTTTCAGCTGCTGTGGGGCAAACAGATCCTATCCTCTCAGCAGAGGGGTCTGTGGGCCTCTCTGTGCATCACTTTGGGGGAGTATCCAGCAGCTGTGGCCCAAGCCCCAGGAAGCACTGATTTGCCGGCAGGCATGATTGTGTATCGAGTGCCAGTGGGCTGAGGGCTGCATTCTGATCTGAGCTACACCCGTGTCAATGCACAGTGACCCTGCTGACCCACTTTGCCCCAGGCCCCCTGAATCCTCTGGGCGATCCTGATCTCCTGTGAGGGCAGGTGGTCTGCAGATTTGGATGGCACTCAGCGCCTGCCTCTTTACAGCCCTCCAGTCAGCACAGGGCCCGGGCCTGGAGCTAGGTGGTGCTATACTGCAGAGAGTTCAGCGACTGGCAGTCTGGTGAAAGAGGGCCGGGCCGTGCACGGGAGTGGGAGATGCACATGCTGTGGTGGTGAATAGGCTGGGTTTTGAAAATGCCTCTTCTCTGGAATGTGCCAATGAGAGCCGCAGCCCAGCACCATGAGGCAGGGCCGGCTTTAGGCCGATTCAGCCGATTCCCCTGAATCGGGCCCCGCGCCCTTGCCGCCCAGGCTATTTAAAAAGTCCAGGGCTCCCGTTGCTTCTACCGCCCCTGCCCTTTAAATAGCCGCTGGAGCCCCGCCGCTTCCCCAGGGCTCCCTCGGCTATTTAAAGGGCCCGGGACTCCCCTACTTCTACCGCCCCGGCCCTTTAAATAGCTGAGGGAGCCCTGGGGAAGCGGGTGGCTCCGGTGGCTATTTAAAGGGCTGTGGCTCCAGCTGCCACTGCCGCCCCGGTCCTTTAAATAGGCGCCGGAGCCCCGCCACTTCCCATGGGCTCCCTCGGCTATTTAAAGGGCCGGGGTGGTAGAAGCAGGGGAGCCCCTGTCCTGCCCGCAGCCAGCCCCTGCTGCACCCCCTGCCCGCAGCCAGCCCTGCACCCCCTGCCCTGCCCGCAGCCAGCCCCTGCTGCACCCCTGCCCGCAGCCAGCCCCTGCTGCAC